TTCAGTCCGGCATCTCAGTTTAAGTCACGTAAACGGTCGTTATCAGTTTTTTTCCATTCTTCATTTAAACACAAAATCGAAAACTGAAAAACTAATCATTATCTGTTTTTTTTCATTTTGGTTTTGGAGACAAATAATGAAGAAAATAGTTGCTTTTTCGTTTCCTTATTTTTGGTTTTATATTGAAAAACAAATGAACGAATGATACACAAATTCAAAAAGTGTAATATCTAGTTTCAGTTTTAGTTTTAAAATCAGTGTGTGTCAAATTAAAATACCCTAGTAATAATAAAAATAATAGCGGTTTTGGTTTTCCACAAGTCTCTCATAAATCCACTTTTAAAACTCCAAACTGTTTCTCAATCCTGTCTCTTTCGGAAAGTGCACTTCAATCTCGAGCCTCGTTTTTTTTGTTTTTTTTTTTGTTTTTGCAAAGCGCACTTGAGTCGTCTAAAGCCAATATAAATAAATGAAATAAAACTACATTCGCTCACCGTGACAACGCTTCGCTCTCCCATAAAATGCTACACAAATCTGATCAAAGATAGAAACTAGAAGACAGAGACAGAGAGAGGCAGAGAAAAGAAAACAAAAAAAAACAAGGAAGCTCTTTATAATCTCCCAATAGAAACGGGAGAGCTGTCGTGTAGATTCGGCGAGCGGTTTGTAAGGAAGAAAGGGGAATGCCACTACCCAATTTGCGTCACCTAGCATACCCAATTTGCGTCAGTCATGCTATGCTATGTTTTCCTGCTGTGTTACGTTCTCAATCAGTTGTCGCTTTAGTTTACAACAAAAAACGGGAACAAAATATATAAAAGATTATTCCCAGAAGATTCCCAAACAAATTACATGACAATTTGAAATAAATTAGTTTTGCGTTTTCTCTGTAGCCCAAGTGATCAGTTTGTTTATGTTTATTAGCATTATTAGCTATTAGCATTTGTAGTGTAACACTTTTTTTTTTTTGCAAAGTTTAGGCAAATTTTTATGTTTAACTGTTAAAAAATATGTACTGTAAGTGCACGGTTAGCCTGCTAGTTGTAAGCAGTACCGTGACATTAAAACTCCACTCTTGTCTCTGAACGTTGAGAAAAGTGAGCAAAGTTTAGGCAAATTTTAATGTTTAGCTGTGAAAAAGTATGTACTGTAAGTGCACGGTTAGCCTGCTAGTTGTTGTAAGCAGTAGCGTGACAGTAAAACTCCACTCTGACCTCTGAAAGTTGAGAAAAGTGAGCAAAGTTTAGGGAAATTTTAATGTTAACTTGTTTAAAAGTATGTATTGTAAGTGCACGGTTAGCCTGCTAGTTGTAAGCAGTACCGCGACATTAAAACTCCACTCTTGCCTCTGAACGTTGAGAAAAGTGAGCAAAGTTTAGGCAAATTTTTATGTTTACTTATTAAAAAGTGTGCATTGTCAGTGCACGGTTAGCCTGCTAGTTGTTGTAAGCAGTACCATGAAAGTAAAACGCAATCTGACCTCTGAAAGTTGAGAAAAGTGGGCAAAGTTTAGACAAATTTTAATGTTTACTTGTTAAAAAGTGTGTATTGTAAGTGCACGGTTAGCCTGCTAGTTGTTGTAAGCAGTACCGTGGCAGTAAAACGCAACTCTGGCCTTGTGAAAGTTGAGAAAAGTGCTTATAAACTTAAATATAAACGTAAAAGGTAAGTGAGGATTAACTTAAAATGAACTAGTTTTGTTTTTTGCATTTTTTTAAGACAATAAAAATCACGTTCAGTGTCTTTAAAGTAGGCCAATGTATTATGTAAATATAAAAAAGATCAATAAAATAAATTAAAATGTAGTTTTGTATGTTGGTGTGACGCAAATTGGGTAGTGACAAAGAACAACAAGGGAACAAGGAAAGGAGACTCCGGCTAGACACTTGTGAAGTGCACTCCACTCCTATTTGAAATGCAGACATGAGGAAGTACCACTTTAAAGTTTAGCAATATTCAGTAATTATCAACATTCCATAAGGTCTTATTATTAACATACAGGTTTCATACATGAGTTATCTGTACATTTTTAGACAGTTCAGTTCTTGGGCGGATTTAACTGTGCGCGCACACGGAAAAAAATCCCAAAATTCGAAATAAATTCTCAAAAATATGGCTGTCCATCTTGAAACAGTTCGGCTACGTGTGCGTCCAATAGGATAGGAAATGCCCGTGAAGAGAAGAGGAAGAGGCGTGGCTACTTAAAGGCCCTCCCCCCTTTTTAGCGGAGGGTCCGATGAGGGGCGGGGCCAGGTCCAGGTCCAGGACACGCCCGCCATGTTTGGGACCCTCTGGGGGGAGAGAGAGAGAGAGACAGCAACAGTCCTGGGATGTTTAATAAGAGGGGTGACTGCATAGACAGAGTATTGGGGGACAAAGGGGGAGGGGCTAAAGCGGGTGTGCGGGTGAGCGTGCATGTGTGTGTGTGTGTATGTGTGTTTGTGTGTGTGTTTTCAGCAGCTGCACTGGACCCCTACAGGCAAAGTGTGGGAACTACAAGCGCTTACATTTGAAGTAAAATAATAGCAGTAAACTAAAGTGGATAAATAAGAATAATAGTTGGTCAAATAAAAACAATTAAAAGGTAGGATCGCATTAGATTACGTGGAAAAGCAAAGAAGTTATGGAATAATTCGGAATCACAAGGATATAGAAAGATAGGAAGTAAAAGGTAGAATATATTAGGATAGGATTTAAAAGGAAGAAAGTCAGTAAGGTATAACCTAGTGCCTCAATTTCATTTCTCTCCAGCAACTAGGTCAGGAATCGAAATACACTAGACCAGGGGTGGGCAAACTAAAGGCCCGGGGACCATATGCGGCCCTTTAATGTTTTTAATCTGGCCCGCTGAACTTGAATAATAATAATAATACTAATAATTTTCAGTGTTTTTAAATAAATAGTAAAGTGTGGGAACTACAAGAGCTTACAATTCAAGTAAAATAATAGCAGTAAACTAAAGATAAAAGTCGAGTTGGTGGGATGATAGTTGGTCAAATGAAAACAATTAAAAGGTAGGATTGCGTTAGATTACGTGGAAAAGCAAAGAAGTCATGGAATAATTCGGAATCACAAGGATAAAGAAAGACAAGAAGTAAAAGGGAGAAGCCAAAATTATTATATATTGGGATTTAAAAGGAAGAATGTCAGTAAGGTATAACCTAGTGCCTCCACTCAATTTCATTTCTCTCCAGCGAATCGGAATACACTAGATCAGGGGTGGGCAAACTAAGGCCCGGGGACCATATGCGGTCCTTTAATTTTTTTTTTTATCCGGCCCTCTGAACTTGAATAATAATAATAATAATTTTCAGTGTTTTAAAAGTCATTTTGTGGGACTTGAAAGTCAGATATTTTGTTGTAATGCTTTGTAATGATGGTTGTTGTAACATGGGATATTTTTTTTCTCTTATGAGGTGGATTACAACAAAACTCCATCCGTTTGCTCCTGGTCCGGCCCTTCCGTCAAATTTTAGAGCCCTTTCTGGCCCAGGAGTCAAAACGTTTGCCCACCCCTGCACTAGACGGTTTGCAAGAAGCTGTGAAGCCATGACGTCAAACTCAAGCGTCTGTCTGGTCACTTTTGTGGAACAGCACAACAGTAAACAAAGCATCGAGATGGATGTAAACGAAGACAAACATTCTGTGTTGGCAACGATTCCCGAGATCGAGGATTTAAAGCCGGAACAAAGAGAATGTTTGGTGAATTTTATCAAGCGGAAAGACATTATTGCCCTTCTTCCAACAGGATTTGGCGCATTACATATGTCATGACCAAATAGCAGTGATTGGTTAAATTAAAAATGTACCCACGTACCGTCGAGCAAACGAATCCTAATGCGGTTTCGACGAAGTGAAACCGGCTGATGAATCAGTCTAGGTGTACTGACCACTACTGGCAAATTAAAGCAACTACAACAAAGGTCTATCTGATGAAAGAAATTATTATTAAAGAAGACTTATTGTGCTTGAGTCTGTTATATAGTTATAATCTATGATCATTACTGGGGGTGTAACGATATCCAAGTCTCACGATACGATATTTATTGTGATATTTTGTGGAGGTGGAGGTGTTCATATGCTACTTTTTCCTCTTAAAATGCTTTGACAAGACTTAATCCAAAGATCTAAGACTTAAAAGTGCTTAGAACTGTTATTTCTTCTTGTGGTCTACACTGAAATGAAGCAAAGGATCATGGTCGATGTAGTTCTCTGTCTTTTTTTTAGCTATTGCTGCACCATAACTCTTAATTTAAGCAAAGAGACTTGTAATTCAATATATTGTGACGGTCCACGATATTATTGTGAGAACTTTGACGATACGATATCACGATATTTCGGTTATTGTTACATCCCTAGTCATTACATTATAATTTGGACATTTTAAAATCACAATATTCATCTAAAACGAGTTCATAAAATAAACAAGTCCATCGATTTCGGCATTAGAAAGCTGTTGCTACAAACGTCAACACTAGAATGAAGTTGTGGGCATCTCCAGAAACAATTTTGGAGTGCGGAAATAAGAAGGGGAAAACAACTAAAATATTTAAAAGCTCTGGGAAGTTGATTTTGCAAATAAGATCGACTTTAACAAAGAATGGACAAACGGGTATTAAAAATTATACAAAAACAATACGATTTTCAGAGAAGTAATCAAATTATGAATGAAGAAAAACTGGTTTAAGATACACGACGTAGATCAAGTATTGTACTCGTAAAAGCGTCATGGTAAAGTTGATTGTATGGTTAAGAATGGGACTAGGAAAAAAAAAGGCAACGATATGCATAAAAAAAATAAAGAATGAGGAAAGGAGATAGGAAAATTTTAACAATAAGCAACTAAGGATTTCAGAAAAGTATTTGTAGTTGCAACACTTTGCTCTGGGCCAGCGGCTGAGATTTGTGGCATTGTTTGGGACGTCCTGTGTTGGGAAAGGGCCATGGTGGTGTTGAGAGGACAGTCCCACCAGCAGGGGGCAGAGGAGAGGGGTTAGAAGGCGGGGAGGAAGGGCGAGAATCTGCGGGGCATCTGGAGGACATCAGTGGAACAGGGCAGGACTCTGGTCTGAGGACAGTTTGACCCCCGTGAGACAAAGCCAGAAACTCCCTGTACCGCCGGACAGCTCCTGTAACAACAACAAAAAAAAATAAAGAAAAATGGGAGAGAATCAAGTCTGAGGTTTAGAAAGGAAGTTGAAAAAACACTAACCCTAACCCTAACACTAAAAGTAAAAGAACTGTCATGCAATAAGTCAGTGACATGTGATTGCACTGACAGACAAAAACTTGATACTTGAACAGATACTCAACCTATAATTTGTAAATTGTGTTGATAGGTAAGAATACAGTTTTCTGGCAAACATCACTGAGGAATGAGCCTGAGAATGAGGCTATGTTTATATGACGATGGTCTGAACAGAAGAAGTGGCGTTGCGTCTTTACAGTGACGCAAAAGTGTGTGGAATTCGAATGGGTATGTTTGTACTTAAAGCCAGTGTTGGGGAGTAACAGATTACATGTACCGGAGTTACATAATCAGAGTACAAATTAGGAGTAACTGTGTTCAGTTACAGTTACTGTTTCAGTGAGTGGTAATTGGATTACAGTTACTTTGTTGGAAAAAATGGATTATACAGCGTTTTTTTTTTGTTTTTTTTTCCTGTTTTCACATTTTGGGCTAAACCGGGACTAAAACCAGGACTAAACCAGAACTAAACCAGGACTAAAACAGGATTTAACAGGACTAAACCAGAACTAAACCAGGACTAAACTAACAGGACTAAACCAGAACTAAACCAGGACTAAAAAACAGGACTAAAACAGGACTAAACCAGAACTAAACCAGAACTAAAACAGATTAACAGACTAAACCAGAACTAAACCAGACTAAAACAGGATAACAGGACTAAAACTAAAACAAACAGGACTAAACCAGAACTAAACCAGGACTAAAACAGGATTTAACAGGACTAAACCAGACTAAACAACTAAAACAGGATAACAGACTAAACTAAACCAGGACTAAAACAGGATTTAACAGGACTAAACCAGAACTAAACCAGGACTAAAACAGGATTTAACAGGACTAAACCAGAACTAAACTAAACCAGGACTAAAACAGGATTTAACAGGACTAAACCAGAACTAAACCAGGACTAAAACAGGATTTAACAGGACTAAACCAGAACTAAACCACTAAACCAGACTAAAACAGATTTAACAGGACTAAACCATAACTAAACCAGGACTAAAACAGGATTTAACAGGACTAAACCATGCTGTGTGGACTGTGTCGTCTGGGCTTTTTATTTTCTTTTATCAGACAAAACATCTAACGTTACGATATCCTGGTCTTTGCTTCTCTACAGCAAATCAAGTAATCCAAAGTATTCAGATTACGTTACTCACTTTAAGTAATTTAATGGATTCTGTTACAAACTACATTTCGGGGTGTGTAATCTGTAATCTGTAGGGGAATACATTTTAAAAGTCACCTTCCCAACACTGCTTAAAGCAACAAGGGCGTCTTTGGGCATGGGGAAGTGTTCTGATTCATTCATTCATTCAGCCGGTTTTACTTTGTTTCACTTCGTAGAAACCGTCTGACCTCGCAGCCTTAGATTTCGTTCGCTTGACGGTAGGCGGGTACTTTTTAACATTTAACCAATCGCTGCTTTTTGGTCATGACGTATGTAATGCGCCGCTAACGGATGTAACTGGTATAATAAGGGCAGTAACATCTTTTCCCTTGATGAAATTCTTTATTTAGGCTTTAAATCCTCGGAATCGTTGACAACACTGAAAATATCACTCGTCCCTAATTGGCTGGTGCCCAAACTTGCACTTTCTCATTTTTTGCAAAATATCTATTGTATTTTGATCTCTGACCTAGTTGCTGAAGAGAAATGAAATTGAGCAGAGGCACTAGGTGGCGCCAGGTAGGATTAGCCAATCACTGTCAAGTATAAACTCGGAGAAGAAACAGATAGTCTTAGATTCATATTTCTGGAAATAGAAATTGTGACCAGAATGTGGTTTTATGTTTTTCAATATAATCCTTTTTAATACTATTTATACCACAGTCAGTGAGATTCCAACGATGCATAACACATAAATAAGTAGTTCAAACAACAGCCAAACCCTCACCCTAACGCACTTTAACCTTTTAACATTAATTTGAAAATATAAAGAAGACTCCACATAAAACTGGCAGCGTCAAAACAAGCTTGAAAATATTCTACAAACTGTACTGCATTTCCCCAGCTTTGACATATGCCAGATTTGTAACATTTCACCTTTAGTCCAGAGCGAGGATGTGGCTCTTCGTAAATAGGAGCTTAGCCTACTTTAGCTGCAGATCTGCGTGTTTAAATGTTTGCCAGAAAATAACAGCACGCTCCGGTCTGTGCGCTTGTGTGACCTGATAAACCACAGCGTGTGAACAAGGGTGGGAGATATTGACAGAAAATAATATCTCTGTATTTTTTGCATTATGTCGATATTAACACTATTCAGATTCACGATTCTAAAATGTCAAATTGATTGTGATACTAAGGAATAAACTTGATACAGTGATGAATGAATAATGACAAAAACACTATAATATTGCCAACACTGCTTTCTTTTCTATTCTCCTGTGGTCATTCTAAAGCTATTCAGGTAAAGTTCATTTCTGTCCTGTGAATTAGGGCTGCTTGAATATGGAAAAAAATCATTATCACAGTTATTTTGGTCAATACTGAAATCACGATTAAATTATTCTTTTTTAGTTACACATTTATTCGGTATTTTCCTCAAAAACTAAAACACTTTGTTATTGATACTTTATGCAAAACTTCCAAATTGAAAATAAATTCAGGCTACAAATATGAACAGTTTTGTGATGTATAAAACATAAAATGAATAAAATACACTTTGAACGTGAAATAAGGCAAAAACAAAATAAGAAAAACATAAATGTATCCAAAATAAGCGATATATCCAGCTGTTCTACAATCTCTATATTTAAAAAATAAAATAAATATACTTAATTATATATAAAAAATATTCCAAAATAAACCTTGTTAAGCTTTAATCGTTTCAACTCGATTACATGAGTTTGGAGATTGTTTTGACACACAAATCGAAATCGAGATCAAAATTCAGTCTTACGGTGAATGTGACTTTTTTTTAGTATCGATACCTGTGAAAAATGAATATCTAGTTTCGATACTTGTTTTATTATCGACTTGTATCTGATTTTCGATACCTTTGCCAACAGTAATTCAGATAATATTTTACCAATGCATCAGGAATGTGCTAGAATGTGTCTGTACATGTTTTGGTTGAAGTTCAAGTACAAATTTAACAACACAAGTGTGAAGTAGTTACTTTATAGTTAAACTCTTACAGTATAAGTTTCTGTATCTTTTTAAGGTTGATTTTAACATTTTTGTTTATTAACTGGGGAAGGGGGTTCTGCAGGTATTAAGGGTGTAATGGTACATGTATTTGTGCCAAACCGTTTCACTACAGGCAGTGTTGGGGAGTAACAGATTACATGTACCAGAGTTACGTAATCAAATTATGAGTAACTGTATTCAGTTACAGTTACTGTTTCAGTGAGTGGTAATTGGATTACAGTTACTTTGTTGAAATAAATGGATTACACAGCGGGATTTTCCTGTTTTCACATTTGGGGCTATGTCCCTTTTTTTTTTCTCAGTAGTTCCACTCATTGCCGGACACTAAACCAGGTCTAAACCAGGTCTAAACCAGGTCTAAACCAGGTTTAAACCAGGCCAGGTAAACCAGGTTAAACCAGGTCTAAACAGGTCTAAACCAGGTCTCTAAACCAGGTCTAAACCAGGTCTAAAACCAGTCTAAACCAGTCTAAACCAGGTTTAAACCAGGTCTAAACTAGGACTAAAGCAGGACTAAACCAGGTTTAAACCATGTCTAAAACCAGGTCCAAACCAGGTCTAAACCAGGTCCAAACCAGGTCTAAAACAGGATTTAACAAGAGTAAACCAGAACTAAACCAGATCTAAACCAGGACTAAAACAGGATTTAACAGGACTAAATCATGCTGCGCGGACGTGTCTAGTCGTCTTCTATCAATAATATTTTTAATACGGTTAAGTAAAGACTTTTCTTTTTTTTTTTTTTTTAGCAGAGAAAACATTATATGTTACGATTTCCTCGTCTTTGCTTCTCTACAGCAAATCAAGTAATCCAAAGTATTCAGATTACGTTACTCACCTAAAGTAATTTAATGGATTACGTTACAAACTACATTTGGGGCATGTAATCTGTAATCTGTAGGGGAATACATTTTAAAAGTCACCTTCCCAACACTGACTACAGGACGTTTGGTTCGACGCAGGTCTGTGCACGAGTGAGTTAACGCAGTTTCTATGTGTGTTTACATTCCACCACTACATGTGCAGCTACACTGAAGGCTCGGCTCTTTAATATTCACGAGGGAACTTGTCCATGATTGGGGTGGTAGTGTTTCCCGTAGTGCTTTATAGTTCAGACGGCCGCCTTGACAACAATTGCCCCTCGCCTTGACTACGTCCCTCCGAACCACGTGAATCCTCGCAAAACTATGATCGTCGCGCCACAGTCCTCACTTTCAACTTTTGCCGGCAAATTGTTGGTTTAATAAACACACAAATAAACAACAAGCAAATGGTTTTTTCATTTTGTTCCCATGCTGCACCGAAAATAAACGAGGTACATACCGAACCGTAATATTTGTGTACCGTTACACCTCTAACATGTATGTCTATGAAGGCTTGTTCGGCAGTTTCCATGGCGACACAACGCACACATTAGCAAATACAGCCAAATAAGTGTTAAGAGAGTCTGAAAAGTCACGAAAAATACAAAATGGATTGAAACAAAACACATTTTCGGGAGTCTGTGATCAAAAGGAGCATTCACGATCCTGGTTAGGAGTTTAATTTTCAACAAAAAGGTGAGAGGGACTTTTTGTAACAGCACAAAATCAGCTCAACTTTGTAGTAGTCAGTTTTTTTATGGTCAGATTGTGTTTAAACAAAGCTCAGATTAAATTCTAATATGCGTAACAGAGCTTCAGACGGAGCAGTGCCTCTAGTCAGCATCACGATCAGCTAAAATGTTGCTTATCACCAAAACAATAAATAATAATAATATAAAATTATGGATATATCTCCCACCTCCCCACTCATGAATATTGAAATGTGAGCGTAGGAGGCAGCCGTTTTAGCATTTTGAATATTTTTATGGTTTACCTGTGAAGAAGAGGAGTGAAGTGGTGATGAAGAGGTGGTAAAGATGAAGGAAGGTGAGATTTTGGTGGGGTTTTTTTTAGCTCAGAGCAGAGGGAGCGGGCAAGGCGAGGCACTGACATCAGCCTGCTTGACCTTAAGGAGAGGAGACAGTGAAGGAGGTAGGAGGTAGGAGGTAGGAGGTAGGAGACAGGACAGACAGCAGGAGAGAGAAGCACAGGGAGAAAGCAATGGGTAAAGTGCAAATAATGATAGGACACTTAAGAACATAAACAACACAGACAAACAAATGTAGTGAAACAAGTGAAGTGATATTAGTCTATTTTTATTTAATTAAGGACAAAGAAAGGAAAGGTTAGTTGAAGTTTTGGTATGTTTTCCCTGATCAAACTCACAATCCACATGTTTAATATAAATTTTATATAAATACAGTTTCCTTGTAATCTTTTCTGTATAAATTTTCACTTTTTGTATGAATTCCTGTCAAAAATAACGCATAATTAAATGTTTTGTGTTTATGGTTTTTATGTAATTGCGTTTATTTAACTGAACACAACAATACTGAATTCATTTAACTTATTATTGTTGTTTTTAAGTAATATAAGAATTAGGGCTGGGTATCTTTAAGAAGTTGCCGATACGATACATATCTCGATACAACGCACTTTCAATTCGATACGATATATTTCAAATCGATTCGATATGGTTCAGTAAAAAATAAAGGCATCAATCATGGCTGTGATTCTAAAAGTCTTTGTTAAATCACTTCTTGTGCAAAACTGAATATGAAACTGAAATCATCAAAACAGTGAAAATGTCAAATGTGTCGCATAAACAAGTTTCCTTCCTCTAAACAAGCAACAAAACTGTAGCTCTGTAACAAAATAATTTAGTAAAATAAACCAAAAAATACTCTTGGCGATATATAGATACAGCAGCCCACGATATCGATACGATATTTTGATATTTTTGCACACGCCTAATAAGAATTGTTTGTAACGTCCTAAATCACTTGACTTCAGTTATCTACTTATAGTGTTGAGGTAAATCAGGAGAGTCAAACTCAAAGTCACAGAGGCCAAAATTAAAAACTGGGTCAAACTAAATATTTTTTGAAAAATTTCAACAACATCTGCATGTTTTCTCTTCTTTCAAGATATGTGATGTTAAACCTTTTTCTTATTAAAATAAATGTTTAATAAGAGTTTTGCTTAAACACTGAATCCAGAACAAGCAAGAATATAAAATAATAACACAATTTTAAATAAATAATGTCTCTATAGTCTATCAGGTCAGCTCTAATACATATTTGATATGATCTAATGGGCCAAATATAATTATATCGCGGGCCAAATTTGGTCCCTGAGCCTGAGTTTGACGTGTCTGAGTTAACTGGACACAACAATACTGAATTTATTATGCTACTTATTGCTATTATTATTATTACTTATTATTAGTAGTAGTAGTAAAATAAGAATTTGACTTCATTTAGCTACTTATATAAAATGCATTCTATACCTCAGCATTACTTTTATTTTTATTTTTTATATAATTTTGAAGAGCAGTATTAGTTAGTAAGAAAAACTAGTGTTTATATTTTATTTTTATATTTCATTTATTGACTCTAAACTACTCAGCAAATCTATTTCCATTGATTAAAATACACGATAATACTGTTTTCTCTTGCAAAGAAATCAAGACTTATAGGGTTTACTGGACTTCTGAGTTGTATTATATTACGTTGGCACCGATTTCTGCTGTAATCAAGCTGTGAATTAGGACAAATTATGCTAAAAACTATAAATCATATGACATTTTTGCAGTTATTTATTCATCTATGAGTTTAAATGTCCAAATTCCACCCTCCATCACTTTTAACACATTCAAAAACATGAAATCTTAACAGAATGTTGCCCTTACTGAAAAATGTAAAAGTGGGCAAGGTACAAACCCGAGGCACTCCGACTGAATACAATCTTTATCTAATTATGCCCTGACGAAGACCATCCTGCTGGTCGAAACACGTTGGCGTCCCTCTGTGTAATAAAAGACTTTTAATATATTCAGTGGGAGTGCCTCGGGTTTGTACCTCGCCCGCTTTTACATTTACAATTTTACCCCTCGTAGAGCACCTGTACTGCTATTTTTAACTTTTTTATGACCCAGTGAAGCGCTCTAACTCTTTTCTTCATCTGGAATTCAAAAACATGTGCCTTTTGTTTGTTTTTTTTGGCGGTCGCCCTAACAGAAGCTGAAGTTACAGTGCTGCGTGTGCATGAGTCTACGTGCAGTTCCCTCCCTGATCCAGCGGGGGGCAGTAGACACTCACAAAGCTGCGCGTGGCGGTGAGTCTGTGACGTCGGGAGGAGACCACTGTCCCGCTCAGGCTGCGTCCGATTCTCCGCAGGCTCTCGCTGTCCTCAGGCCCCGCCCCCATCGCCCGATCTCGAAACACCATTGGCTGTGGGGGGGGGAGAGAAAACAGGGCTGTCAATCAAAACGGAGCTGAAAACTGATGAGCGGCGTGACAGTGTCAAGGCCAAACTCACAGATCCGAGAGGGGGATGAGCCAGAGGAGGGAGGGAGAGAGAAGAGAGGAGGAAGGTTTGTAAATAGTGGGACACGGCTGCTGTGTCCTGGGAGTAAAATAAATGTGTTTTTGTTTTTTTAAAGGGCCAGTATTACACTATTTTTTAATCTGTGTTATATTGTTGTTTCCTCATCAAAAACAGACCTGGAGCTGGACCTTGTGTGGACTAATAATAAAATGTTACTCAGACATGTGAATGAAACAAAACACAACTCCAGGTGTGTTTTTGACGAGGTGACAACATTTTAACATGACTTAAAGCTCACAAGAGTCAATTTTGTGTAATATATCGGACTTTTAAAGCTTAACAGGATTTGGAGGACAGGAGATTGAATAAGCCTGCAGAAGTAGAGTTCAAATTCATATCCAAATCCACTTTATTTATAGCACATTTTACAAACAAAATGTGTGTTACAAATAACCCCGTAAATCAGGGGTGTCAAACGCAAATTCGCAGAGGGTTAAAATTGAAAACTCGAACTAAGTCGTGGGTCAAACTTAATATTCAATGAAAAATTTCAGCAACATCTACATGTTTCCTGCATGAAGTCCGGCCGTGTGGACTGTCAGGTGAACAGGACTGAGACCAGGACCAGGCCAGGAATGAGACCGGGACTAGATCAAGACTGAGACCGGGACCAGATCGGGATCAGACCAGGATTGAGACTGGGACCAGACCAAGACTGAGACTGGGATCAGATCGGGATCAGACCAGGATTGAGACTGGGACTAGATCGGGACCAGACCAAGACTGAGACTGGGACTAGATCGGGATCAGACCAGGATTGAGACTGGGACCAGACCAAGACTGAGACTGGGACTAGATCGGGATCAGACCAGGATTGAGACTGGGACTAGACCAAGACTGAGACCGGGACCAGATCGGGACCAAATCAGGACCAGACCAAGACTGAGACTGGGACCAGATCGGGATCAGACCAAGACTGAGACTGGGACTAGATCGGGACCAGACCAAGACTGAGACTGGGACTAGATCGAGATCAGACCAGGATTGAGACTGGGACCAGACCAAGACTGAGACTGGGACTAGATCGGGATCAGACCAAGACTGAGACTGGGACTAGATCGAGATCAGACCAGGATTGAGACTGGGACCAGACCAAGACTGAGACTGGGACTAGATCGGGACCAGACCAAGACTGAGACTGGGACTAGATCGAGATCAGACCAGGATTGAGACTGGGACCAGACCAAGACTGAGACTGGGACTAGATCGGGACCAGACCAAGACTGAGACTGGGAGTAGATTGGGATCAGACCAGGATTGAGACTGGGACCAGACCAAGACTGAGACTGGGACTAGATCGGGATCAGACCAGGATTGAGACTGGGACCAGACCAGGACTGAGACCAGACCAGGACTGAGACCGGGACCAGATCGGGATCAGACCAGGATTGAGACTGGGACCAGACCAAGACTGAGACTGGGACTAGATCGGGATCAGACCAGGATTGAGACTGGGACCAGACCAAGACTGAGACTGGGACTAGATCGGGATCAGACCAGGATTGAGACTGGGACCAGACCAGGACTGAGACCAGACCAGGACTGAGACCGGGACCAGATCGGGATCAGACCAGGATTGAGACTGGGACCAGACCAAGACTGAGACCAGGATCAGACCAAGACTGAGACCGGGACCAGAACAGGACTGAGACCAGACCAGGACTGAGACCGGGACCAGACCTAGACTAAGACCGGGACCAGATTGGGACCAGACCAGGACTGAGACCGGGACCAGACCTAGACTAAGACCCGGACCAGATTGGGACCAGACCAGGACTGAAACAGGGACCAGATCTGGACCAGACAGAGACTGAGACTGGTTTAGCCTTGGTTTAGTCCTGGTTCAATCCTGGTTCAGATCTGGTTTAGACCTGGTTTAGACCTGGTTTAGACCTGGTTTAGACCTGTTGTAGTCCTGGTTCAGTCCGTATGCGGCGCAAAAGTCGGGCATTTCAGTTTAAGTCACGTAAACGGGAAACGTCCGTTATCCATCCGTTTTTTTCCATTATTCATTTAAACACAAAACTAAAAACTGAAAAAACGAATCATTATCTGTTTTTTTCATTTTGGTTTTGGCGACAAATAATAAAGAAAATTGTTGTTTTTTTCATTTTCTTATTTTTGGTTTTATTTTGAAAACGAATGAACGAATGATGGAGTTTTCCTTTATGTATTTATTATAACAAAACCTTTATTTATGGAACTAAACTGAACCTAAATCACTGCACTTAGATTTGATTGTGATTAATTCATTACCACGGTACATTATACTCATCCAGCCACATCGCCATAGCAACAATAAAAGCAGTACTGTGTGTTTTACCTTGTTGAGGTAGGTGGGGGTGCCAGTGCAGTCCCCGTACACGCTCCTCTCCATGTCTGCGTTTGGGGTCTTTGAACGGGCCGGCCCCCCCACTCGAGAAATCAGCCTCTCCGATGGGCTGCACACTGAAAAACACACAAAATGTACTTCATATTATTCTCATTACTCTGCCTGGAATGTTCCGCAGTGTGACATTAAACAGCTCTACTTTACATTTACTCAATTACAGGTGGTTTTATAGCTCAAAAATACCTAGAAAAACAGACATTCTGACTGCGATCGGGGTCGCCTCTCCACAGATCTGACCTGTAACTTGATCTGGTTTGGTCTCCGTGACGACGGAAAGTTTTAAGACCGTACCGTGAAACATTCCAAACAAAGCACTGTCTAAAAAGTAACACAATGCACCTTTAAAGTAAGTTTATAGTTAGTTTTAGTTTTGTTTTTGATGGTCTGAATCTCCCCTCCTTTTCCTCCTGGGGCTAAGTCACTCCCCGCTCAGAGCTCTATCACATTACAATCATCGTGCTTCTCTGCTACTGCACATCGCACCAGGTTTGTGAAGTTGTAGTGTATTATTTTGTAAGCTGCTTTTGTATATTTACAGAATCGTATAACGGATTTAAATTTATTAGAGGATTTAAATAGGACCTGGAGAGAGATCGCTAAATTACTCAAACATGCATGGATGACATTTAAAACCTCTTCAGGCATTTTTTTGATGAGAGAACAGCATTTTAACTAGGGCTGATCATTCTGAAGTTGCAGATACGATACATAGGCCACAACACGATACAAACCTCGATACATAAAGCCACGATACGATACACACCTCGATACAGTGATTCGATATGATTCAATTAAAAAATAAAGGTTAAATCATGGCTGTGATACTAAAAGTTTTTGTGAAAAAATGTATATGAAACACAAACATTTTAATGATCAAAACAGTGAAAATGCCAAATGTGTTGCATAAACGAGTTTCCTTTCTCTAAAAAAGCAACAAAACTGTAGCTCAGGAACAAAATAATTTAGTAATTTAGTATTAGGGGTGTAACAATAACCAAAATATTATGATATCGTATCGTCAAAAGTCTGTCAGTAATATCGTGGACCATCACAATATATCAAATCACAAGTTTCTTTGCTTAAATTAAGAGTTATGGTGCAGCAATAGCTAAAAAAAACAAAGGGAACTACAAAGACCATGATCCTTTGCTGCATTTTGGCGCAAACTACATGAAGAAATTACAGTTTTAAGCACTTTTAAATCTTAGTTCTTTGAATTGAATCACAATAAATACCGTACTGTGAGATGTATATCGTGAAAATATCGTACCGTGAGATTTGGATATCGTTACATCCCTAATATCGATACATCAGCCCACGATATCGATACTGCATTGTCACATTAAATGATACGTTATATATATTTCAGTATTTTTGCACACCTCTAATTATAAAGTCGCAGAAATCTCCAAAAAAAGTAAATTTCGCTTGATGCTCTTTCTTTAAAACGACCTTCAAAGTTTTTTTTTCCCTTCTTTTTTTTTTTTTTTTTTTTTTGACAGAATAATTTTCACTGTGGCCCACCCCTTGAGTTATTCATCACACTTACTGAATGAAATATGAAAATGCAAGAGGCAATTTTTTATACTCGTACCATTTCAGCAAATTATGATTTAGGCTTCACGCGCCATCCATCTGTAATCATTTGACTGTAATTTATCTTTGGAAACTTTGAGTCAAGAATTCATTACAAAGTTCAGCGAGTTAATAAAGAGAAACCACAGCTCGGAGGACGGCGTCTCCCGGGAGAGCAAAGTAAATTGTGAATACCATTATTTAGTATCAGAACTCTGGCAGATACTCCAGAAATCCTATATACTCTAATAGGATAATGCCACCAGGGAGGAATCTTAACCCATTTTAGTTCATTTGTTCTTTAAGTAGTCTTCCAAGTACCAGTAAAGAGAAAATGGGAGGATATTGGACTGTATATACACTACAGTGGTTTAAAGGTGCACTGTGTAACTTTTCCTGCTCGTTTCTGCAGATATGTCATTGTTCTGTCTGGAAAGTTCCACAGTATGACATTAAAAAGCTCTACCTTATTTTTTTAAGTGGGGCTATGTGATTCATGACACGATGATGTGGAATCCTGTTATTAACATTAACGCCGTTCATAATCACCTACAGAACAGAAATTATAGACATCGACGCATGAACCAGGACTGAACCAAGACTAAACCAGGACTAAACCAGGACTGAACCAGGTCTAAATCAGGACTAAACCAGAAATGAACCAGGACTAAAACAGGTCTAAACTGGGTCTAAACTGGGACTAAACCAGGACTGAATCAGAACTAAATCAGGACTAAACCAGGACTAAACCAGGACTAAACCAGGACTGAACCACATCTAAACCAGGACTACACCAGGTCTAAACCAGGACTAAACCATTACTACACCAGGTCTAAAACCAGGACTAAACTGAGTCTTAACTAGGACTAAACCAGAAATGAACCAGGACTAAAACAAGTCTAAACTGGGTCTAAACTGGGACTAAACCAGGACTGAATAAGAACTAAATCAGGACTAAACCAGGACTAAACCAGGACTAAACCAGGACTGAACCACATCTAAACCAGGACTACACCAGGTCTAAACCAGGACTAAACCATTACTACACCAGGTCTAAAACCAGGACTAAACTGAGTCTTAACTAGGACTAAACCAGAAATGAACCTGGACTAAAACAGGTCTAAACTGGGTCTAAACTGGGACTAAACCAGGACTGAATCAGGACTAAACCAGGACTAAACCAGGACTAAACCAGGACTGAACCAGGTCTAAATCAGGACTAAACCAGAAATGAACCAGGACTAAAACAGGTCTAAACCGGGTCTAAACTGGGACTAAACCAGGACTGAATCAGAACTAAATCAGGACTAAACCAGGACTAAACCAGGACTAAACCAGGACTAAATCAGGACTAAACCAGGACTAAACCAGGACTAAACCAGGACTGAACCACATCTAAACCAGGACTGAACCAGGTCTAAATCAGGACTAAACCAGAAATGAACCAGGACTAAAACAGGTCTAAACTGGGTCTAAACTGGGACTAAACCAGGACTGAATCAGAACAAAATCAGGACTAAACCAGGACTAAACCAGGACTAAACCAGGACTGAATCAGGACTAAATCAGGACTAAACCAGGACTAAATCAGGACTAAATCAGGACTAAACCAGGACTACACCAGGTCTAAACCAGGACTAAACCATTACTACACCAGGTCTAAAACCAGGACTAAACTGAGTCTTAACTAGGACTAAACCGGAATTGAACCAGAACTGAACCAGAACTAATCTTTGACTTGAGAGCGAGCGATAGAACCCCGGGCTCGGGCGATGGCTGTGCTTAAGCCCCATGGGGCCTGGAGCTCTGCGCCGGTCTTTTCGCCTGCGGTCACCTGACAGTTTAATCCTGGTGTAGTATATATAGTATATATATATATACACACACACACACACACACTACAGTGGTTTAAGGGTTCCCTATGTAACTTTTCCTGCTTGTTTCTATGGAAACGTCATTGCTCTACCTGAAATGTAAAAATTACATTAAACAACTCTACCTTACATTTATTCAATTACAGGTGGTTTTATAGCTCAGAAACACCTAAAGAAAAAAAAAAAAACATGCTTTCTGACTATGAGCAGGGTCGCCTATCCACAGATCTGACGTGTAACTTGGTCTGGTTTGGTCTTATAAAGGTTTAATGCCATGGTGTGAAGCATTCCAGACATTCCATTACTCCTACCCACCTGCATTTTTTTGTATTTCTATTAAAATTATTGTAATTTTGTATATATTAGCAAAAACTCTCTAAATCACTTTACAAAAAATGCCACAAATTTACCATAAACACCACAAATTTATCACGAACCCCACAAATTTACCATGAACCCCATATATTTACTGTAAACCCTACAAATTTACAATAAACACCACAAATTCAAAAATGAATGCCACAAATGTACCATAAATCCAACAAATTTACCATAAATGCCATAAATTTACCATATACCTCACAAATTCATCATAAATCCTACAGATTTACCATAAAAGCTACAAATTTACAATAAATCCCTCAAATTTACCATTAACACTACAAATTCACCAAACCCCCACAAATTTACCATAAATGTCACACATTTTCCATAAACCCCATAAATTTTCCATAAATGCCACACATGTACCATAAACCCCACAAATTTACCGTAAACCCCACAAATTTACCATAAATGCCACAAATTCACCATATACCTCATAAATTCATCGTAAGTCTTACAAATTTACTATCAAAGCTACAAATTTACCATAAACCCCACAAGTTCATCATGAATGCCAGAAATTTACCACAAACCCCACAAATTTACAATAAATGCCATAAATTTACCATAAACCCCACAAGTTCACCATAAACACCATAAATTTACAATAAATGCCATAAATTTACCATAAACCCACAAGTTCACCATAAACACCATAAATTTACAATAAATGCCATAAATTTACCATAAACCCCACAAGTTCACCATAAACACCATAAATTTACCATAAATGCCACAAATTTACCAAACCCCAATAATTTCCCATATATCTCACAAACTCATCATAATTCCTAAAAATTTACCACAAAAGCTACAAATTTACAATAAATCCCACAAATTTACTATTAACCCCTCAAATTCACCAAAACCCCCACAAATTTACCAAAAATTACACAAATTCACCATGAATGCGACAAATTTACAATAAACCCAAAAACTGTAACGTATACCTACACATTCACCATAAATGTCAGAAATTCACTATAAACTCCACAAATTTACCATAAACCCCACAAATTTACCATAAAACAATAAAAAAACGCCACAAATTTACCATAAACCCCACAAATTTATCATAACCCCACAAATTCACCATAAATTCTTCAAATTTACCATAAACTCCACAAATATGTCTCAAAACACCTGATAAATATATATACTTTAAGTAATCCACAGAAATACACATTGATGCACCAAAGTTAGGTCATGGTAAAAGTACCTGTCCTCCCGGCCTGCAGACTGGCCTGGTACAGCGAGTCCAGCTCCGTCAGCTCCGCCTCCTCGCCGTGTGCCTGCCCAGGTGCATGCTGGGAGCTGTAGTGCGCGGGGGAGGACTGACAGCTGTAGGCGGGCGGCTGCGCGGGGCGGATGGGGTGACACCGGTCGGGGGGCGTGTCGTAGGGCGACACCACGGCGTCCGGGCGGTCCAAACTCCACGACGACCAGTGCCGCGTGGGGGAGTGCGGGCGCGGCGGCTGCCATATCGGATTGGACTGCGGTCTGGGCGTTTCTACGGGGGGCGGGGGAGCGGGGGGACGGGCCGGCTGTGGGTTCTGTGGAGTCGTCGGAGTCGTATCCCAAAGGCGAAGGGGGAGAGAGGGCAGAGAGATGGCCAGATGCTTCCCCAAAGGTCTCACGCTGACCCCTCCCGCCTGGAGCAGCTCGCACAACCTCACCCCTGTCCCTGGATCGCCGCGTTCCTCCCCCAAAACCGCGCCAACGCAGCCGGCCTGAGGGGAGCAGGGGTGGCTGGCGTAAAAAGGGGGGCGGTAGGGCGGCGGCAGAGGGGGGGGCGGGTCCGAGACGAACGCCGCGTCCTGATTCGCCGATCCCTGGGCCTCTTCTTCGTCCTGATTGGGCGTCAGCAGTACTTGGACCGGGCCAGGCTGTTCACTATAGAGGACACATAAGAACGAACGAACACAAGATAGAGAGAGGGGGTAAAAAAAAGAAAAAAGAAAAAGAAAAAAGGAGGGAAGGGGAGGAGAGAGAGAAAGATGGGGAGGGGTTGTCAGTCAGCAAGCAGAAAGAAAATTCCGGATGACGTCAGGTGAGTTACTGCATTGGAGGAAGGTCAAAGCGGAGCGAAGGATGTACAAGCAAAAAAAAACAGCAGCTAGCGCACTTTATGTGGCCTTATGCAAGCTCGCGCCTCAGTACAGAGACTATGGGCCCATGCTGCAAACGCACAAGCGAAAACAATCCACACACACAAAACCCAACACATTCTACTGCGCAGTTTTACACACAACATCACAACAATCACTCTGTACTTTTAGTCTGTACACTGTAATATGGTAAACTCATGGATTTAAGTGGATAACAGGACTTGAAATGCTTTGAATTGTTGGTTTTCAGAAAATGTCACAACATCGAATAGGCCTTTATAACGTAACAGAGATGGATTGTTTATTTCATTGTTTCCCAAAGATTGGGTCACGACTCAAGAGGGTCACAAGAGATTTTTTTTGGGTCGTCTTGTCATGATCTGGATGTAGGTCTGCTGCAATATACAGTTCTGTCACGTGTTGAAATATTAGGACATGTTTTGTATAATTTCTAATCTTTTTGTAATTATTTTATTGACTATTTTGTTCCAATATTGCTGAAAAAGAAATGGGCTGCGTTTATCGTGCAAATAGGCGGCTTATGGATCCTTTTATTGCTGGTTCAGTTACTGTTTTTCATTTTTTCAAACTTGAGAAATACTAATTGTTCAGAAAGACACCATCACTAAGGGCCTGTTTATGCGAGAACGCTTGCGGGTAAAAACGACAAAATATTTTATCAGAAGTGCCTTTTGTTTAGACGGTGACGGCGTTTTTGGGGCTTAAAAACGCAAAAATCTGAAACCACCGTCCAGAGTGGAAAAGTTGAATATGCTCCGTCATAGCGTTTCCGTCTACACTGCCCAAGACGCAAAACTTGCCTCTAAAATCATGCCTCTAAACCAGAACTAATACCAGGTCTAAACCAGGTCTAAACCAGGACTAAACCAGGACTAAACCAGGACTAAACCAGGTCTAAACCAGGACTAAACCAGGACTAAACCAGGACTAAACCAGGTCTAAACCAGGACTAAACCAGGACTATAATCAGGACGGAATACCAGGTCTAAACCAGGTCTAAACCAGGTCTAAACCAGGACTAAACCGGGTCTAAACCGGGTCTAAACCAGGCCTAAACCAGGCCTAAACCAGGTCTAATCCAAGACTAAAATCAGGACTGAAACCAGGTCTAAACCAGATCTAAACCAGGACTAAAACCAGGTCTAAACCAGGACTAAAACCAGGTCTAAACCAAGACTAAAATCAGGACTGAAACCAGGTCTAAACCAGGACTAAAACCAGGCCTAAACCAGATCTAAACCAGGACTAAAACCAGGTCTAAACCAGGACTAAAACCAGGTCTAAACCAGGACTAAAACCAGGTCTAAACCAGGTCTAAACCAGGACTAAAACTAAGTCTAAACCAGGATTAAAATCAGGACTGAAACCGGGTCTAAACCAGATCTAAACCAGGACTAAAACCAGGTCTAAACCAGGCCTAAACCAGGCCTAAACCAGATCTAAATCAGGACTAAAACCAGGTCTAAACCAGGATTTAACAAGGACTAAACCTGGACTAAACCATCTCACACACAGCCAGTCCATGAAAATATTGTCCCTAAAAGAACGGCGCTGCAATTTAATAATTCCCTTGTGTGTCGGAATGGCGGAAATTTGACCCAAAAAAAAAAAAAGCTCAAGTCCCGCCACTCCGAATAAGGAAAAAACAAACAAACATTGGAATGCAAAGACGTTTGATAAAAAAAGAAAACACCGCCACTCTGACAATTAAACGTCAACGTTGGAGTGACGGTATGTAACCTAACAGATGCTAGAATATTATATCATTTTGAGCACTTTTCATCGCCCAAAACTACTATAATTTTGTTTCGTATTGTTAATCTCTATGGCAACCGTGCTTCATTTCACATAACATAACTACTACCCTCTCTCTTCACTGTGTAACTTTACAGACGCTGACGTGATCTACGTTAGAAACCACAACACCACAACAAGAGGACGGTAGATTTAAGGTCATATTTTATTTATTTATTTATATATATATTCATTTCTTTAACGCACTCGGGTTTTTATGCGCCATCCCCCCCATCCCCCACATGAACTCTCCTGTCTCTTTCAAGCCTTAGTAATTACCCAGCAGGCTTTGCAGCAGCGGGCTATAAATCAGAGCTTGTGTTGATCAATAGAGGAGAGGAGGGAGGTAATAAAAAGAGGCTGAGCGCGCAGCTTTGCCACCTCCGCTGTGCACCGTGACTGAGCAAGGGATGTTAACAGAACAGAGGCGCTTAGATCACAGGGACCAGAATAGAGCTGTTTTAGTAGTCGACTAGTCAGCGATTATTTCTATTGTATATGGAGATTCATAAAGGGCCCGTATTACCATGTTTTATGATCGACTTCATAACGTTTCCTCGTCACGAACAGACCTGGAGTTGTGTTTTTGTTTCGTTCGCACACGTTCAACGCAAAAAAGCTGCGTATTTAGGCTGAGTTTTTCTCTCAAACACTAGTAGAAAACGCTCTTGTGATGTCGTGTGGTAATAAAGGAAGTGCTCCATTTTTTTTTCGTCGTACTTGTAGCCGGATCCACAACATCTTTTGGTGCCGAAACCAAAAAAAATGTTGTGGATCCGGCTACAAGTACAATGGAAAAAATGTCAGAGCGATAACTCGAGTTAAAAAATGGCTTTACTGAAAAAAATGTTGCTAGTGTCAAATCTCAAAATATTTCTGTTCCAACTCTCTACATTTGATCTAACATGTTTTTTTTTTGGTTTTTTTTAACTGATCACGCAGTCTTCATCAACTGAGGGTTTCAAAAAACAACAGAGAACCAGCGCCATCTATGGGTGAAATATCTGGTGCTACAGCTGAAGGAAAATAATCCTTTTCTGGTTTTAAATAGCAAATACATACTTTTAAAAATTAACATGTTATAACAAATGAATTAACCATTTTTTTCTAAACCTTTTTAAACTAAATATTCAACATGCTCCACGTGTTTTTTTTTTCTTGACAGTTTCGACTGCTCGCTCGCGGTCGTCCTCAGAGTGGTCACGTGATGTTGCTGTGACGTGTCCGATCAGCTGATTTAAACAGGTTTTGTCGCTGTCTTCCTACTGTCTGAGGCAGGACGACAGCGCCATCTGCAGTCCGACTTCCTCAGGACAGTATCCCAGGTGTGTGAGAGTAAAAAAGCCCCCTCGTCCCGGTTTATCCTCCCGTGGGCACGTTTCTTTATATATATTTCGTATCAGCTGAGCAGACATGTCACAGCAACATCACGTGACACTCAGAGGAAGAGCACAGAGAGCAGTCGAAACTGTCAAGAAAACAAACTCTTGGTCTGAATAAAATAGAACCTAATAACATAAATTATCAGAAGACCAAATGAACTTCATTGGACTAGGGCTGGGTGTCATTAAGAAGTTGCTGATGCGATACATACCTCGATACATGGGCCATGATACAATACATATCTCAATACAGTACACTTTCGATTCGATATATTTCACTTTCAATTTTCAATTTCAATATTCAGTAAAAAAAAAAAAAAAAGGCTAAATCATGTCTGTGATACTAAAAGTCTTTGTTAAACCACTTCTTGTACAAAGTGAATATGAAACACAAACATTTTCATCATCAGAACAGTGAAAATGTCAAATAAACGAGTTTCCTTCCAATAAACAAGCAACAAAACTGTCGCTCTGTAACAAAATAATTTAGTCAAATATACCAAAAAATACTCTTGGCGATATATCGACAGCAGCCCACAAGATCGATACTGTATCATCACATTAAACGATACGACAGAGGTGGTGCTATCATTAGGCAAGTGCAGGCGGCTGCTTAGGGCCCCCGTACCTGGAGGGGGCCCCCAAACACCATTCACCATTCTTACTAAATTATTTTGTTACAGCTACAGTTTTATTGCTTGTTTAGAGGAAGGAAACTCGTTTATGCGACACATTTTACATTTTCACTGTTTTGATGATTAAAATGTTTGTGTTTCATTTTAACTTTGCACAAGAAGTGGTTTAACAAACACTTTTAGTATCACAGCCATGATTTAGCCTTTATATTTTACTGAACCATAACGAATCGATTTGAAATATACCGTATCAAATCATATCGAATTGTAAGCTCACTGTATCGAGGTAACGTATTTTCTGGGCTATTAGGCGCTCTGGATTATAAGGCGCACTGTCATTAAATGGTCTATTTTCAAACTTTTTTCCACAAATAAACCTCACCGGACTTTAAACGAAACACAACAGTGTGATGGGTGAGTGGTTTTGTTTGTTTGTTCGTTCACGGTGACTCTGGGCTTTGTTCAGTTGTGGCGTGTAGGGAGGTGCTGTCTGGGACCAACGGATTGTCGGCGTGTTCGCAGTGACTCAGTTGTTCAGTCGTGTCTAGAAGCGGCACATTGCGCTCGCTTTTTCGGTTCGTTCCTCCGTTCCGTTCCTCGTCGGCGTGGAGTGATGAGTGTGGCTGTGGGTGTTTTTCGCTGTGCGGTCGCTGTCTGCTCCGTGTGTGTTTGCGGCTTTGTAGTTTACTGAAGTCGTGCTGGGACACCCGAGTGGATTCGTGTATGGGGCGCTCTGGATTGCGGGGCGCGCGGTCGTTTTTTGATGGGGTTGGAGGCTTAAGAGCGCGACCTATAGTGCGGAAGATATTGTATGTATCGTATCAGCAACTTCTGAATGATACCCAGCCCAGTTTTTATATTAACAGCTACTTTTACCTTTAGTTCCGTAGAAATCGGCAATTTTAGAGCTGAAATCACCCAAACGATTCTAGTGAAGGTGTGCGGAGTTTAAA